TCGCGACCCCATGGACAACATTCCTCCAGACCTTCCTGTCCTCCACCATCCCCCGGAGTCCACTCAAGCTCACACCAACTGCTTCAGTGACTCCATCTAGGGCATCTAGCTGATATTGCTACCCACTTGAGCTAGAGTCTAGAACAAGTAATTATTCAGTTACTGTTTTAAAAAAAAGCATCTTAAAAACCACAAAAACTTTAAAAATCCAAGCAACTTAACGAACAGTTAACATACAAAATGCAACACATCTAATTTATAGCAGCAGATATACATAATTTAATACCACAATTGAAATTCCAAAATGCTGCCTGAAAAGGTATGCCTTGAAGTTCTTTCAGAATATTAGCATTACCCTATGCTAACATTCAGGAAACATTGCAAGGCATATTTTGTTAATAAAATTGCAAGGCATATTTCTAATACATGTCTCATCTGGCCATGCATTCTACAACCTCAGATTCCTTCTAGAAAGGAATTGCTTCTTTTTTCTTCTATTTATTTATTTATTTAGACAGCTTATATGCCGCCCCCACCGCATAAGCCTCGGGGCAGCTTACAATCATTAAAATCCCGTGTATAAATACCAAAAAAAAATCATAGAATAAATAAAATACATAAAATTATGGACGTTAGAAGAAAATTCTGTATTCTGCTTCATGATGAGCTTTCTGCTTTGGCCTAGCAAATGTAGATGCTTGTGAAGGCATGAAACTCTACAGGATTGTATTACTTAATGTATGTGTAGACATTCTTGGTCTGGAACATCATCATTCCAAGCAGCAGCCTAGCCAGAAAAGTAACCTGCCATGCAGGAGCAAGGTTGGCAAGCACTTTTCCCTCATTGAAATAGTAAATTTCACAGTGGGAGAGGCACCTAGGTCAGTTTGCAACCCAAGTCAGGTGCAGCCGGTGGTTAGGGCTGATGGGATTTATAGCTGTAAACATCTTGTTGAGGAGCACTGCTCAAGAGTATTATTCCTTCACCTTTCACATTGGTTATGGAAAGGTTCCTCTTTAGCAGAAGCAGTGCCTTGCACAGTGCTTTTGGTTTTAATCAACATGACCACCCTATTCATTCATTTGGAAAACTGCTGCATAGGCAGAAGTCAATATGTGAGGCTACACAGCTGCCCTAGCAAGCACTCACTGAAGTGAAAAATGAAAAGAACTTTTCTGTCTTTGCAGAAGTCACTAGATGATCTTTTACATTCTAGGCTCTACAGGACAATCTAATTCAGAATAAGCTGTTTTTCCTCACTTGAGGAGGGGGCTGAGCGACTCACTTGAGGAGGGGGCTGCTCAAGTAAAAAGCAGGCTGTGATGCACCTTTTCTCTTCAGAGTGCCTGGATGGACTTAGTGAACTGGCTGTCTTCTGCTGGCAGACTAGGAGATACTTATCTCTAGTCTAAAACTACCAATCTTAAGAGTTTGTTATCTGACATTCTAACAAAAGTAAATGGCTTTAAAAAGTGTTCTGAACTGTATTTGTCTACAGAATATATGAAGTGTGTGTGTGTGTGTGTGTGTGAGAGAGAGAGAGAGAGAGAGAGAGAGAGAGAGAATCCATTTTTGCACATTCAAGTTCAAAGTAGGCATCAGATAGTGTCATGACATTTAAAGCATTTTCTGGGTAAGAATTTCACAATACCTAAAATATTATTGTTGACTTTTTTAACACAAATCTTTTCATATAAAAAACTGTTTCTGACTTATCCCCCCACCCCCCACACACACACTCTGATAGATAAATGTCTGCCTCATATGTGCCTAATACTTACTGTGTAAGGTTTCCAGTTGGTAGTCTAAGCTATACTGCCGTCGGCTGGATTCACAAGCTGTTCCTAGTTCTTTAGAAGATGTTGTTTCCAGTTAATTTGATTTTACTACTCTACTTCAGTATTTTCTCATCCTTTACATTCAAGGTCTCCGTCTCACCCCCCCCCTCCCATTTACCATCCCAGTTCTCTCCTAAGGAGCTTATAGTAGGTTTCCTCAATTTTATGTTGAGAGAGAGAAAGAGAGAATAATAATATCCTGTTTCTAATTCTGCTATTTCAGCATTTTTAAAACCATACAGCTGAATACAGCAAGTGTAGGTAACCTTGCAAAATCTAAATGTTTTTTGTAAAATATAAATATTTTTATTCCAGAGGGTTAGCTGTGCAAGCAAAAATGTGCAGCAAAAATGGCAAAGTCCTGAAATCTCAAAAGCACAGATATCTCCACTTTATGCTGGAAAAGCCTTCTTTCTGAAATTCTGGAAAGTTGCTGCCAGTAAGTGCTGACAACAGTAAAAAAGATGAACCAGTGGTCCAGCACTTTGTGAGGTAGTTTCTTTTATGCATAACACTTCGGCAGTGAAGTTTTTACTTTTTATTGTTAATATTAAAAAGTTACACTACAATAAAATTGCTATCATTTATGGAGTCATGTAATAATTTAATTTTTCCCTAAATAATTCCTTCAGTTCTTTCATGTTTAGTGAGCATGTTTTGTGACAAGATCACTCTTAAAAAAATAATGGAATGGCCATTTATGCTTGTAGCTCTAATACCAGTGGTAGTGCATGGGAAAGCTCTTCAAAATACTATATAGGTATTATTGCTGGATATAAACATGATTCTACTCAAAGTGTGAAATATATGAACATAAACATCATAAAAACTGGAATTTTCAAAAATAAATCAGTCATCTTTTATTTTACCATTTACTTTAATTTCCAGTATATTTCAGTAGAATTTTGTCTCTACAAACCTTTGCAAATCATTTAACATGCCCCTTCTTAATCATATCAAATACCTGTAAATAATCTGTTTTAAAATGTTGCGAAATTATAAAAATAGACAAAATACTGCCCAAAGCCAGCTGCCCAAAACTCTTGGATTTCTGTTTTTAGTGAAGCTGCAAGTACGTCCTACCAAGGATGGCCCCCAAAAGGCTTAGCACACCTAGAAGGATTGAGTCATCTACATGGATGTGTTAATATTGCTGTGACTTCATTAGTTAAAAACACTAGGGAAGCAGGCTAGTTTCTCACAAAATAGTGACTGCATATTTTGCCTTATATCCCAGGTTCTGCAAAGGGTAGAGACTCTCCTGTAATTAAAGCTGGGAATCGGATGATTATCCACAGCAGTCAGTTGCCCCTCACTTTTCCTTCCTTGCAAAGGATGAGATTTTCTTCTTAATGTGACAGCCAACTCACCATTTCCCTTATATCCCCTCATACTCTCTTTCAGCACCTTCTCAGGCTTTGTGGATGAAAGCATGGGATCTGAAGTCCTTTCACGTACCAACACTAACAACCCAATCATATGCCTCTTAGTAGAGTAGCAGTGTTCAGCCGCAAAAGTACATAAGTAGTGTGTCTTCTTTTGTGATGAAATCTCACACTTAAGTCCCAATTAATTGGTCTGAACAAACATGGACAAGCTTGAGATGGCAATCATATGCACAATTATTTGGCAGTAAATATGAATTTTAAAAACTTTAGAGGACTCAAGCGTACACACATTAACAAAAATGCATTTTACAACCTCAATGTCCATATTTAAAACCTATGTCTATTATGCTAGCTCCAAGAAAATGTAAAATGCTGAAAATGTAAACAGCCTTGTAAATTTCATGACAATGTTTGCTTACCTCCACTGTTTCCATAACTATCACATTCTCCACTTAGAATGTGGCTTTGGGCCAGGCAAAGGCTCAGCCCAACCAGCCTTATAAGGTTGTTGTGAGGATAAGATAGACAAGAGGAAGAAAATTATGTATCCTGGCTTCAGTTCCTTAAAGGGAAAAAAGGCAGGATATAACTATAATAAATAAGTGCCATTTGTGTAATAAAATCCAACAGAATATGAACTCATAGATGTTTAAGTTGTCAATAACTCAAGATTTGTCAGATCTTTATCAGTATTAGAAGGTTATTCTTTTATGACATTGGATGGTTTCTAGTTGACTCTGCTGCACGGTTATGAAGATTAGAAAGAAGTGCTAAGTAAACACTTGCTTTTTTTTCAGAGTACATACAGTTTCATCCTCCTGGAACAATCAATCATAATTAACCCCAGGAGTTACAGAGCTTAACTGAACTTTACTCTACTAGACATTCATGCACACGATGCTATTTTTCCTGACAATCATTTCCCTGAAACTTCCTGCATGTTGTTATTTTCATTTCTATACTACCCCATAGCCAAAGCTATCTGAGCAGTATAGAAAAGAAATGTTTCTCACATCTGGTCTAGCAGTTCTCACAAATCTCTGGAGCAGATTTGGGATAGGCATGGAGTTGCAGGGTAGAGTAATAATTCAGTCCACCAATAGCTTCCATTAGATAAAACCCAGATTAACAAATCCTCAACCTCTGCTTTTATTGGTGATAGCCTTGTTAACCTCTTATCTTCTTGTCCGCTGTTCATAACAAAAAATATAAACATAGATGTTGTTATCGAAGCAAAAATTGCAAATTTCTCAACAATGCTTTTTTTTACATTTTTGCTAGACATGCTATGACAGGTAGCAGATAGTTGAATAAGAAGCAAGACTTGAGGATCAGGAACAATTCCAGAATACCACAGAGGTTATATGGAGAGAACTCAATGGAGTCCTTGTACTGTGGTGCTTTAGCATAACCTTTAGAGAGGATTTATGTTAAAAAAAGAAATTTGTGAGCAATCATATATACTGTGTATTGTTTAATAAAACTTAACAGTACATAGTGTATATGGTTGCCAGTACTTGTCAACTGAATTAATATTTTTATTGGCTTTGAACAAGAATTTTTTCCCATAAATCAGCTGGTCATGCTGGTAGCATTGACAACACCAGTCATCTAATGGGGACTGATTCCAAGTACTTCTTTTCCATCCAGTAGCTGACATCAGGAGCATTCTGTTTTAAAACAGTACATAGAAGACTGTGAATGATTAAACAATAAAGTGTTGTTAACTATTCTTCATAGTAATTTGTGATTATTTTTAATATCTTTTTGCAGGCATTTCCTATTCAAAACAGGAACAGGGACAACACCACTGTTCAGCACTGCAACACCGGGTTACACAATGGCATCCGGCTCTGTTTATTCGCCTCCTACACGGCCACTACCTAGGAACACCTTATCAAGAAGTGCTTTTAAATTTAAGAAGTCTTCAAAATACTGTAGCTGGAAATGTACAGCACTCTGTGCTGTAGGGGTCTCTGTGCTACTTGCAATACTACTATCTTATTTTATAGGTAAGCTTGTATTTTATGATTATTGTAATCATAAATCTATATGTCTGTTTTGCTGGTTATAGATGGACAGTGCCAAACTGCATAATATACAGCTGTCTTTTTATCAGCAAATGCTGGAAACAATAAAGGCCATGAGAGCAATTTAATTAAAAACTTTTTCAGATGGAATAGAAAATACCTATACTTTGTAAGCATTCTTCTACAAAATGGCAAGTGAAATGCCATTTTAAAGACTTGAACTATAATTTAGAAATGTGCTGCCTTTCTTTTTTGTATTGATAAAGCCATAATTCACCTCTCATGCCTATATAAAGTTTTCTATTTACAAAAGAACTGAGCAAGTCATATGAAACTTTTTTTTTTGTTTTTAAGGAAAAAAAAACCCTCAGGTTTTTCACATTTTAGTAATTGTGTTTCTGAATAAATAATGTGCAGCAGATAAATATGTAAATCTAATAATACTGTAGAATTTAGATTTTATTTATTTAAAGATGCAGCAAAGTTATTTGATTCCAAAATGCCATGAACCAGTGAGTATGTCATATTATTTCAGAATGTCTTCGATCCTAATAAAAAAATGAGATTTACAGTTCCATTGAAAACCCCAAACCTTTGTAATCTTGAAACACTGATAGCCTGTGTTGCAATATGCTGCTTAAATGTTAGCAAGCCACTGCAATGTACTGAAGAAAAACTCAAATTTTCTAGTTCGTGGTCTTCAAATAATACAAAAAAAAAGTGGGGAGGGGGAGGGAAGGAAGGACAGACGGATGGAAGGACTACTGAATAATAGATAAAAATCTCCTTCCCTGCTGATGGATTATGGCTGCCTTGACAAGATTACCAGTGTCCCATTTAACTAGGAGAACCAAAGGAATTGTATAGGAATTGTATATCATATCCGTAATTCTGAATGTTTGAGTCTTTGCTGGTTTTGCTGTGTCTTCTCTTGTGTATATGCTGTGATTCTGTATGATAAATATATGCTTGTCTAAAGCTTATTTGTCTGAAAACCACTGAAAAGTCCAGAGGATTCAGACAGTATAAACAGTAGTGTGGTTACCAAATCATTGTGTGTTTTTATTTAGAGGCATAACCCTGCCCAATCCACATCCTTTGACCCTGCAAAGTTTCAGGGCAATTACTGTATAAAACAAGTCAGCTTGCATTCCAGATGATAGCTATACACCGTTCAGTATAATGGATTTCAAGCACATGGTGATTTTAATCATGTGCTGGTTGGATTGTGAACCAAAATATTATATAGGTGGTATTATAAATATCTAATTTATATCCCCCTATTTATTTTCACACAACAAGGCATGATTAGGTATTTTCTGCAATAGATCATGTTTTATGCAGTGGACCCCATCCTGAATAATTACTCATGTTGTTCATACCCAGACCATTTCCCTCAGAGTAGCTTGTTTTGGGGCTACAAGCTTCCCTAATGACCTATGGCTTCTTCTAGGTGTTGTTGAGCCCATGATAGGTTGTTGAATCTGGCAAATTGAGAAAGGGTGAGTGAACTACTTGGCAACACTAGCAAAAAGCTCTTGTCACTCCTGGTGTTCTCTCCTATTCCATCACCAGTAACAGCTCTCCACGGATGCTGAAGCAATACTTTGGCGTGATGATCACTGGCATGTTACCTTTCAAAAAATGGTCATTAGAAATACTCACAATTGAGACCATAATTTTAAAATTGCTATTATTTTTCCAGTCTGTTGCAGGTAAACATTTACAGCTATTTAAAATGAGGAGTTCTTCCTGGGCAATGTCCTGGTAAGTGACTGATGTCAAAGTACAGGTAACATCTGTGATACTGGCAAAGTGAAATTCTATATAGGTTAATGTGTGCATGCTTGGCACCTGTCTGTTTGTGAGCTGTCAGTTGAAAAGCAAAGCAACAAAAGAATTTTGCCCTGAAAGGAAGAAGTGAATCTATCTTCCCCTTATCTGTGTAATTCTCTAGTTTTTAAATGTTGCCTAACAATTCTCAGTGTCATCCATATTTTCTAAACTTCCTTGAATCTCTAGTTACTCCTGAAAGGGAAATTCTGTATCCTGTCTATTTTTCACAAGCAGTTATTTTTGATATCCATCAAAGGGAGAATTATATACCTATCTGGCAAATATGAGAATTTTCTTAGGGGCAGAACAATATGTGCAAATTTCATTGCCACATATTTCCCATCCACCTCCAACTTCAAATCTGCAAGATCCTGTTTGTTAAAAGTACTTCCTTAAAAACTAGAGGATTGCTTTGCCAAGGGGAAAATATACTCACAATTATCTTTCAAAGCAAAAACGTATTTACCACTTTGTTTTTCATTTAATAGCTTGCCAGTTGATAGCTGCTAAGTGAGTGCAGATTAACCTATTTGAAGCCTTGCTGTCTCAATATCGATAGATATTACCTATTGCACTTTGATTGCAGACACTTACCAGAACATTAGCTAAACACATTTTGGGGAATTATAAGTGCACCTGCAAAAAACAATTATAATAATATCTCAATTGCACACAGTTCTGCTATCTACATTTTTAAAGGGTAATGAACCAGTGGTGGTCATTCCTAAGAGCTATGTTGAGATCATTGGAGGAGCTGTGAATGGTGGTGGCACATAGCTCCAGGGGGAAATACAAACAAATATGGGATCAAGATTGGTAGGGGGAGGGAGAAAAGACTAGTTTTGTTGCAGAGAGCCTTGAATACTTGCTGGAGGACAAAGCCCAGTCTTCTCTCCATAAACGGCCCACACTTCACAGAGTTGGTTGTCATGTCATGCAACTTACTCAGTATCTTAAATCACATTAATATATCTTTATAATTATTGGTGCTTTAATTTAGATTAAATGTTACATGAATGTTATTCTTTAGCCTGGAAAGCGTTAAAATTATTGATCATAAATGTTATTACTTAATTGGCCTTATTTTTCCACTGCCTCAGTTTCAAGATAGAAAATACTGACCCATGATGGGAAGGGAGGCCATTTATGACCTTTGGCGTACATTTACATAGCTTCTCTGGCAGTTCTAAATGGAGGGATGATACCAGTTTGAATGTGTCATGTTCATTCTACATGAGCCTTGCTACAATAACAGCATTTTGCATGTGTATTAGCGCCCTTATTGGCATTGTCTGCACTGCTAAAAGCTAAGTTTTGTGCCTGATTGAGGACTGCATGCATTCATTCTGACATTAAATAATGCCAGTAAGGGAGTAGTGGTGCATCAAAAGTATGCTAAATCTTTTAACACATAGGTTAAAAAGTGGCACGATTCAACCCTTTCCCCAACACAATAGCAACTTTAAAGACTTGCCTAAAATGTCTAATATATTAATATATATCAAAATTTAAATAGTAAAATTAATATATTAAAACCATGCTTTGCTGACTTCTCAAGCATGGCCAAAATTTGCTATGATAATCTTCCCCCTGTTTAATTTCTTAACTGAAGTGGCAAACTTAGAATACCATGGGAAGAAATATGGACAACACTGTCCATATTTCTGGTAACATGTTTCTAGTTACGTAGCCAGTGAAAAGTAACTGGAAATCTAAAAAGTGGTATGCAGAAGTGTGCTGCAGATTATTATTTTTACTGCACTCATGAATAGTAACCTTTTGAATATGAATACTGTTCAGTGGGATAAAGCTGATGAAGATTGAGGACTAGTGATTCCAGGAAATAAAATGTCAAGTAGAGAACAAGTGAAATGGTCAGTGTGTCCAGCACTTTCAGGTGGCGTGAAGATGATCTGCAATGTTTGAAAGGGGTATATATGGGCAAAAAATGTGAAAATACAGTTTGGAAATAATTTTGAAACTTTTGATGAACTGGGAACTTCCCTCCATTTAATCAAGTCTCACCCCACTATTAGAAAGAAAGGCAGCTGCCTCAGGCAGCAGATGCTAAATGGGTCAGAGTGGTAGGAAATGTTGGAGGACAGAGATGTGCCTGTCATATGCCCTGTTCTGTTCCCCCTAAAATAGTATCCTACTCTCAGGTGTGGTAGAACTTTCTGTCCTCTTGCCAGTACTGGGAAAAGAGTCACACTGAGAGCCAAAGGTGCAGTGATTACAGTGTTGGACTGGAAGTCAGAAGATCTGGGTTTTAATCCCCATTCAGCCTTGAAGCTTACTGGGCCAGTCACTGACTCTCAGCTGAACTTTACCCACAGCGTTGTTGTAGGGATAAAATAGAGAAGAGAATCTTGAGAGCCACTTTGGGTTCTTGCAAAGAGAGAAAGATAGGATAGAAATATGTGCAATGATAACAATAAGACCTGCCAGAATTCTTGTTTTTTACTTCAGGCAGCAAATTGTCTGCATTTAATAAAAGTTGATCTTGTTCAAAACATGTAAAGCTATGCTGCATTGCTTCACAAATAAGTAGTACACATGCCTGCTGAAATAAACAATACACAGGAGTTGCCTTCTCTAAATATTCAAGAGAGAGCTTTTTATATACTGGTGATATTACCAGTATTTCAGCTAACTCAGCAACATAAATGTAATATCTGGCATTCAGGGACATACTTTGAAGGTTTGGGTGTCCATAAAGCAGTTAATGGATTAAATTCACTTATATATGTGTAGTTCTCCTCTGAAGATGCAATATCAAAATTCCAATTTAATAGGTCATCCAAGAATAATTCAGTGTAGGTTACTTAATATGAAATTGAAATGGTCTTCCATTTTATTTACCTGTTCCATAACAGTAAGCTTTAAATAAAGCAGTGGGATGAGGAATTATGGATAGAAACACTGGCTGGAACAGCTGGGGCTGACAAATGACTTTGAAGTCCTGGTTTCTGACTGTTTCCACTGTTGCTCAACAACTTTGCTACAACAGAGTCATGTTGCAACGTCTTCTGAAAAATGTGCCAGTGTATGTTGATAAAGGAAGGTTGGAAGATTCATTAAAGTTGTATATTGTTTTTGTTATTTGCCATCAAGTCATGTCTTACTTACGGTGATCCTATGAATGA